GTTGGGATGACTAAGCCCAGGGTTAGATGCTACAACTGCGATAAAGCAGGTCATATTGCGCGCGAATGCAGAGCTAAGCGCAAACGATCCAGGTCATCGTCACCACCTCCAACGAAAGATGGTAGAAGAATGGCCCAACAGTCCACCAATGAGTCACAGTTAAACTAAATCGAGCCAGTCCAGCGGGGCATGAACTGGCTCCCATCGACGATGGCCCCACAATCTCCATAGCAATAGTACAACAGAAAAGTCACAACCTAACAACAACTGGGTACATCACTGGTGATAAGCGAGTTCTGACGTTAGATACTGGCGCATCAAAGTCCATCGTAAGATCAGATCTGGTAAAGGGAAAAATAACGCAACTTAATGGAGTCAGACTGCGCACAGCAACGGGGGAGCCCGCGGCAGTACACGGCAAGATTACCCTGAGACTATCTATTGCCAATAAATCGGAGAATTACGAGTTTATAGTTGCCGATATCGTAGACGAAGTGATAATAGGCGCAGATTTTATGATTGCCTTTGGTATCAATCTGGATATGAAAGAACGTGTGATGACCTGGTCTAACGTCGAAATTCCGTTAAACGTGGGCTACGATGAAAGTACACCCATTAGACGTCTGACCACGGACCATCCAGAGATAATACCGCCCTGTGCCGAAGCAATAATATGGGTACCAATGAATGGAGATTGTGGAGCCGAGAAGTTGTGGGTGGTGGAACCAGCAGAAAACAGAAACAGTAACATCCTAATAGCGAATGCCCTGGTGAAAAGCAACAAGGACGGATTAATTCCTGTTAGAGTTTTGAACCTGTCAAACAAGCAAGAGCAAATTTGCCAATTTTCCGATGTTGGACAATGCACACCAGCTGAAGCTGTAGTTAATTTGGAAACTAGCACCGAAAAGCCAGCTGCCATGGAGAAGAAGCACCTCGACGGCTACATAAAAGAGTGGACACACCAATTATCACCTTCCGAGAGGAACAAGGCTAAGCAGCTATTATGGAATTATGCCTCTACCTTTGCGTTGACAAAAGAGCACCAAGGAAGAACATCAGTGGTTAAGCATGAAATCAATACAGCAGACGCGAGACCCATTAAACAGCCTCCAAGAAGTGTTCCCCTGGCAAAAAGAGACGAGGTTCAGAAGCTGATAAGTGAAATGGAAAAGAGTGGTGTAATAGAATAATCGTCAATTCCATGGTGCTCCCCAGTGGTCTTGGTCAAGAAGAAAGACGGAAGCACCCGATTTTGTGTGGACTACAGAAAGTTGAATGATGTCACCAAGAAAGACAGCTATCCGCTCCCAAGAATCGACGACACATTGGACACATTAGCCGTGACGTCATGGTTCTCCACCCTCGACCTGCAGAGTGGGTACTGGCAAGTAGAGATCGCCGAGAAAGATAAGGAGAAAACAGCGTTTGGCGTAAATGGGGGTCTCTGGCAGTTCAATGTCATGCCATTCGGACTCTGCAACGCCCCGGCTACATTTGAAAGGCTGATGGAGCGTGTGTTAAAAGGGCTGTAGTGGAAGTCGTGCCTCATATACCTGGATGACATCATAGTCATGGGACGCAACTTCGACGAACACATCAAGAACTTAAAGGATGTTCTACAACAGCTTTCGTCTTCAGGCCTCAAGCTGAACCCAAAGAAGTGCAGTCTCTTCCAACGAGAGGTGAAGTTCCTGGGGCACCACGTGACGCCGGAGGGCATATCGACGGATAAGGAGAAAATTCGAGCCGTCAGAGATTGGCCGCAGCCCCGAAATCTCCATGAGCTGCGAAGCTTTCTGGGTCTCTGCACATACTACCGTCGATTTGTCCAAAATTTTGCCAACATCGCCGCCTGTCTACACCGTTTGACGCAAAAAGGCCAGAGGTTTCAGTGGGGCAACGACCAGGAGGAGGCATTCAGAAAGCTCAAAGACATGCTATGCAGAGCCCCCATTTTGGCCCTACCCTATACCTGGCGGCAAGTTTGTTCTGGACACAGACGCAAGTGCGTGCGGCATCGGTGGCGTCCTTTCCCAGGAAATCGACGGACAGGAAAAAGTCATCGGGTACTACAGCCGGACATTGAGAGGAATTACTGTGTGACGAGGAGAGAGCTGCTTGCTGTCCTTGAGTGCGTTAAACACTTCCACAAATACCTATATGGCCAGCATTTCCTGCTGAGGACCGACCACGCTGCTCTCCAATGGTTGCTGCAGTTTAAGAATCCGGAAGGTCAACTAGCCCTTTGGATCGAGAGGCTCCAGAGTTATGACTTCAGAATCGAGCACAGAAAAGGCGGAAAACACGGTAATGCTGATGCCCTGTCTCGTCGACCATGCAAAGTAGAATGCAAGCACTGCTCAAAGGCTGAGAATAAAGAGAATATCGTTGATGTCCGACTATTGCAGTTTGAGTCGGGTGAAGATTGGTCGACGGAACAACGAGGAGATCCCATTCTGGGCAAAGTAATTTCGGCCATAGAAACGGGCAAACGACCTAGTCGCAAAGAAATTACCTCCGAAAGCCCTCTTTTAAAATCCTATTGGGCCCAGTGGGACAGTCTACTTATAATAGATGGTTGCCTATATCGCAAATGGGAAAGTGAGGACGGTAAATCTCACCGGAACTTGATCGTCGTCCCAGACTCCAAAATAAGAGATGTCTTGTCGGAGTTTCACGATGGGCCAAGTGGAGGACATCTTGGCATAGCAAAAACCGCTGAAAAGGTAAAGCAGAGATTCTACTGGGTCGGCTGTCAAAAATCCATTGCCGAGCTAAAGGTCCAACACGGAAGAGTCGAGGCAACATGCAGCAGTATTATTCAGGAGCCCCTTTTGAAAGAATCGCAATGGATGTAGCTGGACCGTTCCCAACAAGCGACTCTGGGAACCGGTATGTCTTAGTGGTCATGGATTACTTCAGTAAATGGCGAGAGGTTTATGCTATCCCAAATCAAGAAGCCAGGACAATTGTGGATGTGTTCAGCAAAAATTGGATTTGTCGCTATGGTGTTCCATCTGAGGTTCATACCGATCAAGGGAGGAATTTTGAATCAGCGATCTTCAAGGAAATGTGTGACTCCTACGGAATCAAGAAAACCAGAACGACGCCCCTACATCCACAATCAGATGGCATGGTGGAAAGATTCAATCGCACCCTGGAAGAACATCTACGGAAAGTGGTGGACAGTGGCCAACGAGACTGGGATGAGCATATTCCCAAGTTTTTACTGGCTTATAGATCGGCCATTCATGATTCCACATCCCGGACCCCAGCCAAAGTTCTGTTCGGAAATGAATTAAAGCTACCTGGCGATTTGATATTCGGTGCTACCCCAAACGACGATGTGAACCAAGATGAAGACAGTCAAAACTTTTTTAGTAAAGTCCACGATGCAGTCCGACATCGAATAAAAATGGTTAGCAACCGCATGAAGGCAAGGTACGATCGAGCGGCAAATACCGATGGGTTTCAAGAAGGGCAACTGGTACTATTGTTCAACCCACAACGAAAGAAAGGACTATGCCCCAAATTACAAACGCACTGGGAAGGACCCTACAAGATTGTCACGAAAATAAATGACGTCGTTTATCGCATCCAGAGGAGCGACAGTCCCAGGTCGAAGATGAAAGTTGTACATTTGGAGCGGCTGACCCCCTACGGAACGGGAACTGTGCCTATTCGGGACGAACAGGCTTAAGCGGGGGGCAATGTTACGAATATAACTTTAGATTTAAGTTAATTTAGATGAATTCCGTTAATTTAAGAATTTGAATTGTAACGTAAATTTCTACTACGCAGTTTATTTGAATAACTTCACAACAACAACTACTGTATAGATTTTTCTACATCCTTCCATTTCCTCTTTCATTTTCTATTTTGTTGCTAACGTACAATTCTTGTTAAACGTCATCATTGATGATCGCTTAATTCCTCTTTCTTTGTTCCCCCCTCGCCTGTGTATGTGTTGTTGTTATTGTTCACTCAATGTAAGTTTGTTGCATTGGTAGATTGTTCGTAATCTAGGCGTTACCAGATCGTCTAGAAACTTCTGTAGCGACAGGCGAGGCTCATATAAATAGGGGAAATGGAAAGGCAGTTAGTTGTTGTGAATCAGATCGCGAATTGAAACCGTCGAGTAAAGTAAAGTGCAAAGTAAAGTTGTGTGAATAAAATCATTGTAATAATCGTAATCCGAAAGAACGTACGTAATCCGAACGTTTTATTTGGTACGAGCTGTATTGGGAAATAAAACAACGTCTACACGGGATTAAGTAAAATCCAAGAACGTAACAATATGTACAGGTCATCAATAATTCAGAAGTGGGATAATCAAATTAATAATGTATTAAAGGAGGATACATTAAAGGATAATATAGCTAACCCTTTGGCAATATTAGTGGTTAAAGTTAAAATGAAATAAAAAGAAAAAAATTGTCATCAAATCTCAGTAGTGGAATAATAAAATTTGATCAATCAAATAAGTAGTGCGGATACAGTTCTCCATAAAATGTTCTTCTGCATCTACCAAAAGTCTTTAATTAATAAAATAGTTCTTAACACCAGAACCTAAGTGTCATGGAAATTAATTTCCAAAAACACCCGATAAAGTTTTGTTTTTGCGAAACATACATATGCTAAACAAAGATGTGTCTTTCGTGAGTTACCCTTGTGACATCGTCAAAACGAGATAGTTTAAAAATTATAGTTAATGTTTTTGGTCCCACGAGATTTCATTGTGTCTCAAAATTAAAATCACACACATCCCCTTATTCTAATAACACATTCATACAGCCCAAACTAAGTAAACTTTATATAATAATTGTAAGTAATAGCATAATCAGTCTTCATTGCAATAATAGTAGTTTAAGACCTACAATAATAAAATTAAAATAGTTTGGTGTAGACTAGATCCGATCAAATTTTAGAAATCATTGTAGATTTCATGAGAACAAACATTGCTAGCGTTTATATTCAAATGTAAAAAAGTTACTCACATAATGAAAGGGTTGATCTGCAACAATTGACATGAATGTGGTGTTTGTGGAGGGACGAAAACGGCACCGATCTCCGACACATTGTTATGTTACAATAAAGAACAAGAGCGCCACTCATGATATTAAGGCAACGTTATTGTTGTGCTTGGCACTAAACGGCAGAGAAGCTGTTGAGTGTCCAGAACGCGATTTAAACGTTGGAGATGAGGTATTCGAATTGTCTTTGGATACATCTTTGGATTCATATAAAACATCTTTTTGGTTTGAATCTTTATATTTTACCATATGTTTCAAAGTTGACGGGCAGTTATTCTCTGAAGGCTCCATTGAATATTTGTCTTCCGACCACGATGGGACTGCTGCTGTATGGTCGTCATGGATGTCATTGGTTGTCACATTAGCTGAATCGACCTCCAAGGAATTATCATTGCCAAGCGTTGAAGATGTCAGAGAAGTTGAAGAAGTGTCTATTATAGGCACAAATACCGAAGTCAAATCCAAAGAGTCTCGCAAAACATGCCATGATGATACGAATACAGACTTGACTCGTTCAAATGTTTCGTAATCGTAAACAGAACGAGCTGTGTTTGTCAAATCAAAAGGTTCTGCAATTCAAAAAAAAAAAAAAAAAAACAAAATAAGTTAAAAATCATTTAAGGCCGGTATGTTATTGCAAAAAAAAAAACAAACAAAAACATTACCTTCAATGCATAGTTCTTTCCACTGATGAATGTCATTCTTCAGAGATTTAGCCGTGCGACATGTACTTATGGGCAGAATTCCGCCGGTTCTTACAGATATGGCATGTTGAGAATAGCTTAGTTGAGAAATAATAGAGACATATTCTAAGTTCGGATTTATTTACTAAAATCAGTGGAAAAAACACTTACTCAAACCTACTATAGTATTCAAGGAGTTTCAAAAACAATTCTCCCAGGGTTTGAGTGTTTTTACTTTCATGAGGTTCAATTGTTTCGTTCATATCCACGTAGCCGAAATCATTGGACCGTAACTGAAATGTGCAAAATGAAACATATTGTTAGTTAACAATGGAGAAGAATACATTTAGTTTAGAGCGATGAAAATGCAATGTAAGATCGACTTTTCCTACATTTTCAGTCTGTATGACAAAATATAACAAAAGTGGTGGAAGAAAAAACATTTTCAGCTCTCTTTTAAAATGTCATCTATCCATTTCTAATTATGCACTGACAACGCATTTCTAACTTACCAATGGAAATTTTTCCGGGTACAATTCGTGCAAACAAGGCAAGACGGCTGGCTTAACTGCATACTGTAGAAAATGTATAACCATCAACACTAAAGAATAGCTAGATATTGTCATATTCTTGGCATTATTAATATTATGATGTTGAGCCCATAATTTTGTAACTAAGACCAACGGCCGTAAACGCCAATCAACTGGATGCATTCATATTGGTAATGAAAGAAACAAACAATGATATAATATAAGAAAGTAAGAAAGTTTAAAATAAATATGCTTACGTTGTGAATAGCAGTACAGTAAATGGGTATTTTTAATGCCAACACAATTGTTAAAGTTTAAGTCGACCTCCAATTGATGTACACGATCACGAAATCTTAATATAGGAACTTTAGCTTCAATTAAATTGAAATATTCAAATTCACCTGAAATAAACAAAAGCAAAATGCAAAATATAAGAACAATTGTGAGTTAACTAAATTTATCAAATATTTTTGTGGCATGGACCAGATGGAGCTATAAAGAACCAAAATGCTTAAAAACCCTTATCAGAGGGATGTTTTTTCCCAGATGAAGTTTTATGTGTCGTTTCTTTTACTAATTTTGCGATAAAAAAATAAAGGAACAACAATTGTTTTTCATAATAGCAAAATATCACTTTGTTTCCCAAGTTGACCGTGGATAGGTTTAGTCCAAAATATTGTTTTGTAAATTGTGATTTATTAATAAATTAATATCGTTTGAATAAACCTTCTCTTACACTTCTGACAATCCATTACACGTGATAAGCTTTGCTATGAAAACACATGATTGCGAAGTAATCTCTCATAATTAAAATATGTTTACTCGGATTGCTTGTAATATGTTTACTCAGATTGCTTGTAATATGGTAAATTGTAATACCAAGGAAAATCGCCTCTTTGCCATTTTCATACAATTTGTTTCACTTATTTTAAAGAAATTTTTGTGCCACTAGAAAACTACAAGAACCGCCATCGGATTACCATGCGTATGAGAATGACGATGACGAATGACGACTCGGATTCAAGGTGGTTGTTAAGTAACATTCACATACACATGCACAAACAGAAAAGACACATTTATCTACTCTGCTCATTTCTTTAGGCATCGTACAAGGATGACATATCTTGTGTTGATGCGACAACCTAATACATATGTCTTGCTTTTGAGTACTACTAGTTATTCAGTTATTTTAAAAGGAACATCTGCTAAAAAAAACTCAGGTAAAATTATTCACTCACACACAGAAGACACACACAGAGATTTTAAGGAAACACAATCTATTCTTATATCTTTTCATAACACTATGTCAAACAAAAACAAACTGTTATAAGGGTTTGCGAAAAAACCAGACTTACCAGATTTACTTAGACAATCTCTTAACACGGTTAGATTAAACAAAGCTTCCATGCGAGGATCAATATTAGATGCACTGCGTGATACCAAGCACATGTCAACGTCAGAGCTATCTGAACCAAAGCCCGATATTGTTGAGCCGACCAAATAAAGACCGTAACGGGGATATGCATTCTAAAAAGAAACGGTTGATTATTAGTAACAATAACACAAAACAAATTTTTACGGTCTTCTTCTGTAAGCGAATGCAAAGAAGAAACAGAAACAATACCTTACAGCGTTACCTAAAATTCAACTGCCAAACTATGGTAAAATGTTTTGAACTCTCGTATATCCCAAATACGCCAGGTCCAATTATTAAAATATGCCAACTTATGACGTTGTAAAAATTACTACTTTTTATACCCTCCACCTTGAAAAGGAGGGTATTTAAACTTTGTCATTCCGTTTGTAACATCCCTAAATATTCGTCGTAGACCCCATAAAGTATATATTGTTACGTTCTTGGATTTTACTTAATCCCGTGTAGACGTTGTTTTATTTCCCAATACAGCTCGAACCAAATAAAACGCGGGTTCTTTCGGATTACGATTATTACAATGATTTTATTCACATAACTTTACTTTGCACTTTACTTTACTCGACGGTTTCAATTCGCGATCTGATTCACAACTGACTGACTGCCTTTCCATTTCCCCTATTTATATGAGCCTCGCCTGTCGCTACAGAAGTTTCTAGACGATCTGGTAACGCCTAGATTACGAACAATCTACCAATGCAACGAACACATACAAACTTACATTGAGTGAACAATAACAACAACACATACAAACTTACATTGAATGAACAATAACAACAACACATACACAGGCGAGGGGGTAACAAAGAAAGAGGAATTAAGCGATCATTAATGATGACGTTTAACAAGAATTGTACGTCAGCAACAAAATAGAAAATGAAAGAGGAAATGGAAGGATGTAGAAAAATCTATACAGTAGTTGTTGTTGTGAAGTTATTCAAATAAACTGCGTAGTAGAAATTTACGTTACAATTCAAATTCTTAAATTAACGGAATTCATCTAAATTAACTTAAATCTAAAGTTATATTCGTAACAATATATTTATGATCAGCATTTGGTTCGATGTTCGTTTGTCTGTTTAAATTACGATACAGCCCACATTATTTGACGTAGAGCTTCAAAATTGAGCACAACAATTTGTATTGTGTCTAGGAAGATTGGTATTGAAAATGAGATATATCAGTACCCCCGATATTCGGTATTTTGATGATTTTCGCGCCATTTTGCTCACGGATTTGTTTAAAAATTGGTATTTGGAGGTCATAATGGGTTCTTCGGTGGCGAAGCATTGTTTGTATAGGTCCACGTTTTAGTAAAGCCCCAATATAACGGTATCTCCCGATATTTCGTGTTTTCATGATTTTGATATTGCCACATTTTTACACCGACTTGTCAAAAATTGGTTTTTGTAATCCATAATGGGTTCTAACTCCGGTGCCAGAATATTTAATATTTAGGTCCACCTTTTCCTATAGCGCACATATAACGATCCCCACCGATATTCGGTATTTTGATAATCCAAGCCACATTTACCCATGAAACTGTTTCCATATATATTCTATATCCAAATATGAACCGATCTCTATAACATTTAGCAGAGGTATTTGTGTGCTGCCTCTATAGATGGCATCAAATATGGGAGGGACTTAAATAAATTTTGCACAATAAACTTTAAATCGGATAAATATGTATGTGGGGGGCATATCTAAATCTGAACCAATCTCGACAGAATTTATCTAGGGTGTTTAACATCGCAAATATCGCTGTTATAGAGTTCTTATTACGGGTGTGAGGGACAAAAATAACAATAGCTATAACTATATCTGAACGGATTTTCACCATATTTGACATACTTGCTTCTAGGCTAAATATTAACCGATTATCTCCAATTCAAGGATCATCTGTTAATTTTAAATAGTTAATTTTTTGTGCTAATTGAGCACACTCGTTATTGAAATATTTAATTTTTCTGTACAACAATGCAATAACATTTGCAATAAGCCACGAAGCATAACTAAAAGAACAGGAAAATAAATAGCTCACCTTTATAAATAAATACAAGTAGCGCCAAAGCCTCATTTTCTGTTTGAACGTCTCTTCGGTTTGTTGGCAGCAAATAAATTTATTCCATATATCCTGCGATAGTTTATCCCATTTGGAGTTGTTGAGCAATGCGGCCGGAGCTTCTTTCGCCTCAATTAAATGGGCCCGAGCTAGAAATCTGTCAGGCGGGGTGTGCGTGAAAAAGTCATGCACCGAAGAACTACTCAACGACCGCAAATGATGGGAAGCCTGTGGATTATTGTACAGTAAATTATGGGGCGTGGGAGGTGGCGGTGGTAATGTTTGCATTTGCTGTGCGTGCGGGAAGATATTAGAGAACATAGTCTGCTGCCCATTGTTGCTGATATTGCCCGGCGTTGCTGTCGCAGTCATATATGCGTGATTTTGTAAATATTGATGATTGCGTCCATTTCCAACATTGCGACCATTTCCATTATTTCGCTGTTGACCACTCGATATGGATAACGTGGAATTATTGGATATAGGCAACGAGGGAGAGCAAGCTTGTTGGTTGGGTTGGGCAGTCAAACGCTGTTGTTGCTGCGGCAATAGCTGCGAAGAGCTAAAAAATGAAATAAAACACAATCTCTTATTCGAGAATTCATATCGAGTTGATTCGGTTTCATAGAAGACAATTTAAAGCTCAGAGAACGACAGTGGGTTTTGATCTTCCATACCTAGACAATTCGATTGTAAAATTACACCTAAGGGAAATTTAAAATTAGGAAAACACTTACCCCTTTTCAGTAGAGGCAACAAAGGCAGTGCCTCTTCCACCAACCGAGGAGTTCGAAGATAAACTTGTTGTGGAAGAGCAGCCGCCTTCAACCATGCCAAGTTGGTCGTTTAAACAAGACGAACATGTGGAAGGTGATGAACTGCCGCTCGTTGGCAACGGCTTTTGCAACATCTGCTGCTGTGGTAGTACCTGTTGTAAATGTTGCTGCTTGTTGTAGTCATCGCGATCGACCAGGCTGGGCGATATGGAGGACGATGAAGTCGAGCCACATGAAGGAGTATTGGGGAGCAATAGATTGTTAGCCGAACCCGTAGCAGACGACGTCGATGGCAACTGATGATAAAGAAAATTGCATTGATGCGAAGGACTCCAATATCCACTGCTACTATTTGACCGACTTGTTCCCGCCGATAACGCCGACACGATATTTAACTGTTCGGCAGATGATTGGTTAGAGGATGAGGTTAAAAAATATTGCGGCTGTTGCCGCTGTTGATGATAATCTTCCTCGAGGTAGTTACTGCAAACTCGTTCACAATTATTGACAGGGGAATGAGCGGGTAAATTTAACAAGGATATAACTCCGTTATGATAAACATGTGGCAATTGTGTTGCTCCCGCTGCCGCCGCAGCCTTGGATACAAGCTGTGATGGGTTTAAATAGTGATGGTGTTGCGGCTGTTGGTGGTTGTGTGATGCCCCACCAACAGTCGATGAAGCTTCAATACTGGGAAAGGCAGCATGGACTGGATTCATCGCATACGCGTTGTAATCTATGGGACTGCCAAGGGGAGTTGTAGATGTTGTTGTTATATCTACCGGTGTGCCAGGCTGACTTTTACATTCTTGTTGCTGCTGCTGTCCTCCGACATTGCAGAGTGATGTTGCCGATGATGAGGATGACATAGAAAGTGTTTTATAAGACTGATACTTCTTATTCTGTGCCGTATTCGATGATACCGCCGACGAATGTGTCGACGAGGCATCCGAGTCATAATCATTGCCAGCAATGATTCCCGTTGTCTTGGCTGCAGCCGCAGCTGCCGCCGTTGAAGCTTCATCCAACTGTGAACAGCAGATAATGTTATGTGGGCCCATCGTTGGTGGGTGGGTGCCAGCTACAGATATAGGTCCCAACATATGTGAAGGAGTTGGAGAGGGGGACGGTGAGGGTACATTTAAGGTTAAAGGTGGCAACATTTTCTTATTCAGATACTGTTGTTGCTGCTGATAGTGATGCAACTGATGACTTCCTGGAGGACCCTGGTTTGAGGCATAGCGAGCATAACTCATTGGGTTGGTGGAGTTCAAATGCAGATTAGCCATCATGGCTACGGGACCAGCACAATTTTCCAAAGACTTCGGGCTTGGATTCGAAGAGGATGGCGTTGGTGGCAATACAGGTGCAGGACTACAGCCTCTAGAATTTGCACCCCCCATGGCACTGTTCATACTGCCAACATTGCTGCCATCAGTACTGACATAGGTCAGATTGTAGTAATTTTGGTGTTGGGGAGTTGCAGGAGTATTGCCGCCCATGGCATGGTGGTGGTGATGATGACCGACATAGTGATTTTGATGCGAGTGGTGTTGCTGTTGGCCTCCATGACCATGATGATTGTGGCCACGATGTCGCTGATTGCCCCCATGCTGCCCATTTAATTTCGATGACGTCAATGTCTCTATGGCCAAACTTTGATTTGATAGTGTCTTCTGTGGAACGTTCTGTGCGTTGGATGACTGTTGGGATTTGCGATTTGATCCACATGATGTGCTTGAAGAGGACGAAGAAGATGACGACGAGGACGACGACGATGAGGAACATGAGGAAGCCGACGAAGAACAAGAACCGAGAGATGATTTCTTTGTCAATACAGCTGCTGAGCCAGTGCTAGCGTCAACACATCCTCCAACTTTACAGCAATTATCTCGGCATAACCGCATCATCGACGTCTGCTCTTGGCTTCGTTGAATATTTTGGTTAGAATAGGACATAGACGTATTCGAAACCATGTTGTTGTGATTATAATTTAAAAAACCACCACCACCGCCGCCGCCGCCGCTGCCATAAACAGGTCTTGCCGCATAACGACCTAGGTCGGCCATAGCGGATGCTATGTTGCCACTGTTATAACCAGAACATGAATGCGATTGGTTGGATAATGTTGCTTGAGCTGACGAATGTTGATGATGATATGGCGACGTTTGATGATAATAATTGCCATAATATCTGTTATTTTGATTGGGACGCAAATAATGTGCCTGGTTGTTGGTGGACTGTTGATCGTTGTAGTTGTTGGTACCGATATTGCCACTTTGTCCCGAAAACGCCGATGTAGCTACACCAGCATTATTATTACTACTACTACTTGATAGGAGATGCTCTCCCAACATATCCTTTTGCAGAAACGAAGCAATAGTCAGCTGTGTGGGTTGATGATGATGGTGGTGTTGGTATGGATGGTGATTGTTGCCACTATTTCCACCAAACATAAAACGTTGCTGTCGATTATTGGCTGGTGCAGTTAAACCTGATTGGGGTGGGAAGAAAGGGGTGAAACGGGAAGATGAATCTTGGAACCCAATAGGCTTTGATAATAGGTTAAATTATTATTTTTTTTTTTTTTTTTTTTTGTTAATTTGAATTAAGTCTATGCATGTGTCTCTAAATATTCTCGTGTTTCTCAAGTTCAAGCATTTCATCTACCTAGTTCATGTTACATATCCTTATGAATGGTTTCTACGTTGGTTTTAAAACCAATCTTGAGATTCATGCAAGGAATAAATCTTAACTTTAAGTTATTTTATATTTGGTACATAAAATGTGACATATTACCTCCCGTTATTGGCCTCATAGAACTTCCTGAGCCACCGCCGGTAGCATCCATTACCTTCATTCCCCCTGTTGCCATTTGCACACCAACTGCATGCAAAAAATCCAATGAATATGAACTGGGAGAAGAATGTCCAGAGGCAGGACTACGATTAGAAGAACTTTTCATTGAATCCGTTATTGTTGGCCGATTTGTATCAATACATCCGGCACTACCACTGCCCGTCAATTTATCAACCGTTTCAATGTCATCTATTGTTGAGGATGCACTGGAACATTTCTGTTTGGAATTCGGCGTCGTTGCAAGGGAATTTTCAATATTGCTTGATGTACATGAAATATCGGTAATGGTAGCGGGCGATGAAGACGCTGAACTGATTATTCGCGACGAACAATTGTTTGAAAATGTCGCAACGTTCATGGTGTTGGTGGATGACTGTTGTTTGTGCTGTGACGACTGCATGAAATTGTCAACTTCAACAACAGTATTCAAAGCCAAATTAATACAGGCACATTCGCATCGTTTGGCACCAAGTTTTTCAATCGACTGTTCCTGCAATGATATCGAGTATTAAAGGAGTTAAATACAATATTATTCATTTATCTTTATAGGTTTTTTACTAAGCCATATTCCTATTTAAGAAAATGCCCAGTTCAACGCTTTGAGATAGTTAAAGGTTCGATTTCTAATTGCTGTGGCGTAAAAATTGAAAAACCCGAAAAAGATCGTTACAATCCATAAACTAAGATGTACACATTCTAAGCAAAACGGCTGTGGGCAATTAATCCAAAATTAAGTCAAAATGAAATTTGATGACGATGAATTGAAAAGAAGTAGTATTTACTAGATAGTGTCAAGTCATATTTACAATAACAAAGTTTTTATAAAAAAATGTCAATCAATTCAGTCTTCGTTCGAAGAAATTGTTTTAAGTCGTTACGTATTTTGAGAATATCCACAAAAATATTTTAAGCATTGCAACCGTTGTTTCTTATATGGATAGATATAAAAGATGCTCCATTCTCCATTATATATGCCTCCAAAAAGAATGTTACAGATTTTTATACCCTTAGCCACATGGCTAGAGAGGATAGATATCATTTGATATGGCCAAAACGTGCTTAATCGAAATAACAGTTTTAGACCCTAGGTCTCTTTGGACCAAATCTGGTTCAGGACATTTGAAGTCAATCTAGCGATGTCCGTCTGTCTGGTGAGCACGATAACTCTCGAAGGGGGTATCCGATTTGATACAAACTTGGTACATCGTAATATTATTGTCAAACTTTGATCGAGTTCGGAGATAGGCAGTATCGGTCCACTCCTTCTGGTACCTCCCACACAAAATGTCAACATTTTCAAAGAAAGAAAAAGTATAATCAGATTTTGCTCCAACTTTGCAAATCCTAATGTTTGCATCAGTGCTAGGTCAGTTGCGAAAATGGACAATATCGGTCCACAACAAGTACCTCCCCCACAAAGTGTCAAAAGATTGAATAATTACAACTCTTATAAAATATTATGAAAGAGTCCGATTGACTTCAAATTACACAAATCAAAATATTTTTGATAATCCATCTGTCCACTGTTTCTGGTACCTGATTTCGCATAAAACTGGATATAAATGTTCGATTTTCTTGTAATTTTGCACATGCCAATATTTTTGATCTGTTTTAAATGAAGTATGAAAATGAAATACTTCGGTCCGCTATATCTGTTACCTCACGTATATTTCAACATTTTCCAAAAATTTGCACATATCTAATATGAAGTATAGGAAGTAGTCCAAATCTGTTACGTTGTAATAGTTATATCAGTCTTAGGTCAGGTACGAACTGGTCAATATTGGCCAATTGCTTCGGAACCTCCCCTATAAAGAGTCAACAGTTTGAATAATCATAAATCAAGGCTGGGGGTATACATCTGTTGGCAAAAACGACTGATACTATTTTACTTGTTTATACGTTATGATGGCGTGGGTTAGAGATTCATTTAGATTGGATTCTATCTGAATGTGTAAGCAAAGTTGAATTGATTTGATTAATAATTCTCACCTATTCCTCCCTGCATCACTGGGGTGCTTCCCTAATTTTGTGTTGTGATTTTTTCAACTCTTACCTTTTCTTTTGATAATTTTGGTGACATTGCAGAGAACAATGTGTCACAGTTTCCGCCACCATTCGTATTATTATAATTATTATTTTTCCATGACGATTTCTTTTTGGACGTCGTTGTAAGGTTGACATTTTGAAGGCTCGACGAATTGTGATAGCTACAATTGCATTTACAGTTTGTACCATCAAAATCGCTATAATACTGACGGCTGGAGCTGCTACTTTCATTGGTGGACGAAGAGGGCAGCTTTTTACTTTTGTTGGATGATTTCATGTTGGCAATAGCAGTTGTTGTTATTGTTGCAGGAGTTATCGACGGCGTTGGAAATTTTGTGAAAGTGGTACAACATTTACAGCCCACATCCGTTGATTGCGAAGTAGTTGAGCAGATCGTAACCGTGTTTTGTGACGGACATGGCTTCGTCGTTGATCGGCCGTACATCGTCGATTCGCTACACCTTTGATTGTCGGATAACTGCGATTGAATCGATATTCTATCACATTCCTGGCCGTGTAGAGCTGCGCTGCAATGGCAGGTCTCAGTGGATGCTGTTGTTGATGATACGCTACTGCTATCACTGCTTGCGGGAATGTTGTTGTTACTGGCATTGCCGCTTTTGTTCAAGGTATTCTGTTGGATTAGATCCATAGCATTGAAATTTTGATTCCTTGATAACTGACAATTATTGTTATTTGTGTTGTTGGTGCCACTACTTGCTGCTGTTACTGATGATTGCAGCTTTTGTTGTTGATTGGATAAATACTGTTGCTGTTGCTGTTGGTGGTGATGGTGTTGTTGCTGATTATGAAAATGCAACTGTGGTAAGGCGTTTTGTTGTTGTTGATAGAACTTCTTGCGGTTCAAAGAGGATGAAGAGTTGCTGTTATTGTTGTTATTGTAATGTTGTTTCTTATTTTTATTATTATTGGAGTTGTGATGATATTTTTGTTGTTGCATTGACATTTGCTGCATTTTACCACCCCCGCCATTGCTGTGATTATATTTCGCCTTATTCGATCCACCATTATGCTTTTGGTGTTGATCTCTTTTACTTGATTTTTGGTTTGTACCTCCTCCTCCCATTCCTTGATTGCCATTAAAATCTTTTGCTGAAATTACGCCGCTGCCTCCACCACCACCGCCGCCCGAGGCAGAACTTCCAGTTTGCGAAAGCGGCTGCTGATTTCTGGTGGGCGATGATACTGATGTTGTTGCATTTTGTTGTGAGTTTGTTGTAAGGACTTTCATGTTAGTAAACATAATAACTTCTAGTGGCCTTTTATAGTTTTTAAAACTTTGTGAATGCTTTTTTAATTATCTGAATATTAAAAATACTGTGATTCTCTTTTCTCATTTGTTGGCGTATCTTCATGGGTGTGTTTATAAAATTGCCCGAGATAGCCCTCTTATAATTAATGTATCCATGATAGTTTATTTTCTTTTCCGTGCGATTTTTTATATTATTTAATTTTTTATATTTTTTATAGTGTTACACAGTTTTTGTTCTTGCAGTAGATACCGCTTTGAGCGTCTTAAATATATCGGTATGTGTAATGGAAGTAGTGAAGTAGTATATATTACTCTTATAATTGATTCTTAGAACGTTGTCTACTCATTTGATTCTAGGATTATTTTAATTTTATTTGGCTAAAGACAGCAAAACGTAAGTTTTTCAAAGTGGCCGTTTAGTTTCAAAATTCTTTGAAACAAATCTTCATGTTTGAATTTCAAATTCAATAATAACTGTAAAGAAAAAATGAAATATGTTTTAAGTTTTAGTTGTAAATAAAGAATGCTACAAGGTTAATGTTATTGTTGAAGTATAGACAAAGTAGTAGCCGAACAAAACCTCGGCCACATCACGGTTAAAAGACCCTAACAAGAAAAAAACGCAGGATCATTTGAAGACGATTTTTGCGAAAATTTCGAAGATTTGATTGCCTATTTTTAGTTAAGGGTGTAATAGTTTTCCAAGATTGCTAGAGTTGTTCTAAGAAATCAGTCCCGAAATTTAAGAGCCTTTTCAATAAGATGGCCAACAATAAGGCCGTGTCAGTTTATCTGGTCTTGAGTACCCGAAAGCAACTTGTTACGCTTATTCGTTTAATAATGTTTGAAATAGCTAAAATCTTAACATTAGAGTAATACTTGTTTAAATTAATCTCGAACTTTTCACAGCCATACTTTTTATTTATCCTTACTCAAGTTATTACAAGGCGTTTGTGGGTGTCTATAAAAAATACATGAAGAAAATCACAAAATCAATATGATTAGCAGAAATAAAATGATTAGAAATAACATTTTCTCTTTAGGAAAATTATTAAATATTAACATTTAAAAAACTGTACATAGAAAATCATAAATATTATTACCAAATATGTACATACACATGGCAGAAAAAGTCTGCGTACACGATAATATTCTATTTTCTTTTCTTAAAAAATTACTTTTATATATTAAATTTTTGAGCTTTATCACAGTAAGCACTTTATTGAAAGTCTATTGCATAATCTCGAAGCATTCAAAGAAATTAAAATCTGGTAAAATTGTTTTTTCGTTAAATTTACTAAAAATGTTCATTTGGCAGCACAGAAAAAGTCTGCGTACAGAAATTGAAACGGGAATTCCCAGCTTAATAACAAAGTATAAAAGTGTCGCAATGTTATAGTTTCTCTTTTGATCGAAAAAGAAGCACTTTTAAAAGTTTATTTGTTGTATTCATAAATCAGTAAATTCATAATATACAATGCCGGCAAAAGGCAGAGAAATAAACCCATCTGAAAGGCAAATAATTATTAAACTCTTTGAGGAAGGTAAAACCTACCGAGAAATCGGTCGGATTGTTGGAAGAACACATTCTTCCATACAAAGAGTGGTTAAAAATTACAAAGATACCGGCGTTTTGGTATCCCGGCCTCGTCCAGGGCGGCCAAAAATATTGACAGAACGTGGAACTCCATACGTTTTACAAAGTGTGACGCAAACCCCCCGACTAACTGCATCGAAAAATGCTGAAAATATAAAGGAAAGTTTTAAAAAGGCCCTCTGCACTGATACAGTTCGAAAAATTAAAAAAAAATGGGTATTATGGCCGTGTTGCACGCAAAAAGCCCTCCATATCTCTTGTAAATAGGCAAAAGCGTATTGTATTTGCGAAAGAGCACTTGAACAAGCCCCAGGAGTTTTGGCAAAGAGTCATTTTTTCAGACGAAAGCAAGTTTTGCATATTTGGAATTAAGGAGCGAAAGATTGTATGGCGAAAAAAGGGAACGGCACTGAATAAGGAAAACTTGATACCTACTGTGAAGCATGGAGGTGGGGGAGCAATGATATGGGGGTGCATGGCTAGTAATGGTGTGGGTCGAATGGAATTTATTGAGTCAACTATGGACAAATACGCTTATCTTAATATCTTAAAAAGAAATTTGAAGCAAAGCGCGGAAGAATTGGGTCTAGCAAGTGACTATTATTTTCAACAGGATAATGACCCAAAACATACCGCGCACATACTTAAGCTTTGGTTGCTCTACAACGTATCCAATCAGCTTCGAACGCCACCGCAATCACCAGATTTGAATCCCATAGAGCACCTATAGGATTCTGTTGAACGAAAAATCCGCCAACGCACTATTACCTCGAAGTCTATGCTCAAGAATGTACTACAAGAGGAATGGGCTAAAATCACTCCAACAGAAACCTCTAAACTTGTCGATTCAATGCCTAAACGTTTAGCGGAAGATTTAAAACGTAAAGGATATCCAACTTCCTATTAAATTGTAAGATGGATTAGAAAAAAGATATGTTTGGTCAATTTATGCATCCTGTACGGAGACTTTTTCTAATGAATATTTTGAGTTGTCTGTAATTTTTGTTTAGTTTAAAGGTTATTTTTAGAAATTAAATATTTTTTATTTTATAATCGAAAAATTAAATACTCTTTAATAAATAAAAAATAATTTGGATTTTATAAAAAGTATATAGAAGCATTTTTTTAATAACTTGTTTTGGTTAGTACGTTGTACGCAGATTTTTTCTGCCAAGTGTATTTACCCATTCTCTTCTTCAAATATATGTATTCTTTACTATTGTAGTTGTGATCTTCTTCACTAACAAAAACAAATCAAATTTGTAACGGCACTTTAATGTCCAAAAACAAAATCACAGTCAGTTGCACATCCATCTCGCCAGATGAACGCCATGTTCAGTTTCTATTGTGTGTGTTTGTTTGTCTATCGAATATCTTCAATTATATGTTAAGCGGCACAATATACGAACCTCGTGTTTCCTCTTCACATCAAGAGGACAGTAAAGTGAAGTACCCCAGGGAAAAACAAATTCTTGTCACTTTCTTTCTTAATTTTAGCCGGTGTTTGTATGTCGTGTTTTATCGCGCCCTTTTCTAGACGATTCTGTTGTTTCATGGACAAGTGCAGAAATTATCCTGTAGACAAAGTCATGAACACCAAGATTTGATTTGCTTTGCTATGCGAAGTTCTGGGTGGGGTCTGTTCTTTTTCCGGTATGTTTATAAGTTTGTAAACATTGTTTCAAGATATACCATCGCTGTTGATATTTTCAATTGTTATTTCAATTAATATTTTTTTATTCTGCAAATTTCGCGTTAATATCACACTTCACTCTTTAAATAAATGAATTAGGGTTCTGAAAATCGTCTGTTGTAAATAACTTCAAGTAACACAACTGAAGGCTCTGAAGCGATATGGCGACACGCCAAACTATTTTGCAGTTGAAGAGTATTCACTTTTGTTGGTCTGCAAGAATTATAAATTTACGTGCCTTTCATGTAATTTTTGATCAGTAAGTTCTTTCGAGAGGGTAAAACAATACTTACTCATTGATAAAACGTGAACGTTTGTAATGGGGGCCTGGCGTATTTGGATGGACTTATTACTTATTATGAATAGTACGAAATATTTAAATATATTGGTAGAAGTTGAAGTTATTTTGTTCGCAATGTTCAAATCTTTGTAGCCCTTTCCTAGAAAAACAAAAATTTTAATGTTGTGGTAAATAACATATACGCATGCTGCATTTTGGTAATGGAATAACTGAACAGATTATTCCAGTCAATGTTTTTATGTTCTTAGGCAGGCATAATAATATAAGGTAAAGGTGTGGGTACGTAAGAAGCTGGAGGTCTTGGCATGGCATAATGTCTGACATATTGTTAATGAATGCCAGAGCCGCATTTGAATCCTGTCGTCGTTCCCCATAAAAATTGACATTAAAAATGCCTAGTAAAACTTTATACCTTTCATACCATGAACTATTTTTTTAACTTCTTTATTATTTTTTTATTTCCGTAGGACGGAAAAATTTTTTATAGCGGGTATACATACATAATCTCCATCCGGGCCAATCTGAATAAATTGTGATCTTCCTTCGAAAGAATTTATTTCATCTCCAAACATGTGATGCAGATTCGTGATATATATTTCATAAAACTATTGGTGTGTGAACGGGTAGACAAAGCAGATTTTATTGTAAAAGTAAAGAGACAAACCTACTATCGAGTAAATTGACACTCATTGACGGTCGCGACAACAACAGCTGTTATTCTATTGGGGCTCGCACATTATTTGATGTTAACCATCTATCGGGACTTGTAGTTCCAATAAGAAGAAGAGGTTGGTTGTCTTTCATAACCGAGTGGTAGCATTGGATTAATTTCTTAAAATTGTAAAATTGTTACAGAAAATGTTGCTTTCTCGTGGTACCAAACTATGGAAGGTACGGAGTGTGCCACTTTGTCGTCTTTACAACTCGACGACAACGAAAAATGCACTGGCAGCAACACAGAAGGCCACCGACAACGACGAATACTGGGAGACACCACAATATCCCGAAATAAAGGATACATCGTTTGATGGTCGCAAGAAAGATGAGGCGAAGACATGGCATGAACAGATACAAAAGACTCCTACGGTAGAAGAAAAGCTCATCAAAATAAATATGCCCAGATACTATGGTTATAAAGTTGTGCATATGAATGAGGAACGTTTGCCCTACAACTGTTTGCCGGCCATACAGCACTATACTCGAACGCATTTTGAGCCCATGGAAAATGAAGTAAAAGAAGACGAAAAGTTGTCGGCTTTTGTTACCGCGTTGAAGGAGCGTATTGTGGATGTTGTGGAGTTTAGTCACGATTTTTATCGGTAACAAATAACATGCATCTCTTTACATTGGCAATTATCTCAAGTTGATTATTGTTTTCTTAGTTATAAGCTAGACCTGAATCCGGAAATGGATGCTGTTGAAAGGGAGAAAACTTACACCCAAATTATTGTAGAGCAAATCCATAGGGAACTAACTAATAATTTAGCAGCCGATTTTCCGCATCTTCATGAGTTGGAAGTCGATTACAAGCCCCGGCACGAAGCATTTTGGGCCGTCGGCGGTATTGAAGCGCCTAAAAATGTTATCAAGTCTAAGGAAGGCAGAGAGTGGCAAAAGGATAGCGCCAAAGACCCCGTTGATCGGTTTATGCAGTATAAAAGTGAACCATACCTGGCGTTGCGACATCAGTCACAGTTGCAGCCGTGGAAAAATGAAAATGAGTATACCAACTTAACACTGGCAAAAGGCTTACCGCGCTATGAATATGATCCAAGAACCTTGGGATATATAACTGGCTATCAACATGGCACAAATATTCCTGGTAAAATACTTATCCTTGAAAAGTGAATGAAAAATTAATATTTTATTTTCAGGCTACTGGCCAAGTAATGTGAATACCTTCGGTTTTATTTCGTATCAAACAAGAGCCCCATTCCTGCGACGACCCGAATCGTACGGAGAAGAGGATAAACTGAATGCATTGCACGCCCATGCCATACAATCGAGTTTTGCATGGCTCCTAGCACAAGCCAATTATTATGGTTTCAATACTTTTTCGGAACTAACGTATCCAATGAACACCCAAACCATTCTCACGAACGGCAAACAGTGGTCCTTTTACGAATATCAGTTGAATACTCTGCTAATGTATGGCAATCAAGTAGATGAAAATCCAAGGGTAAACAATTGCAGGGGCACCACCGAATTGACATTATATCAAGAAATCGATTCAAACGGAAAAGTGGTAGGCTTCAATGAAGAAGTTCTCAAACATTTAATCAAATGTTACAGTAAAACGCCCGACGTTCGGAGATCAGTCGACGAACTCACACCTTTTTTGGATAAACAATACAAACGAATTGCCGATTATCCTGATGAAGAAAAAAGAAGCTTTTTGGACAAAGTATTTAAACACATGTGTTCAAACCGCCCAAGACATTTAGAGTTGCCCGAAATCTATATGTGGGAGAAGATTTACAAAATCGACAATAAAACTAGACCCATGGATGCGAAACGTCGCTTCTTCGAATTGTCAATAAACCCATGGAAACGTACGTTAGACCAGTACGACAAGGTGTATATTCCAAAGGCCGAACGACCTGAAGGTCCAAAAAGTAAAAATAAATTCAGAAAAACTTATTTCCCTTAAATTCAAATAGTGTCATCTGTATTGTTAAAGTTTTTTTTAAATAAATTGATCATTATTGAATATAAATATATTCCTTCAATTATCTTTGCTTAATTGTTTCATTGCGAGTAAACGATACGTCCTGTAGTTGTAGTCTTTTGGGTAATATGTTTGTCAACAAAATTTAAAACAACTTTCTTATTCGACGAAGATATTGCAAAAAGCTAACTTTATGTGAATTAAAGTGTGGTTGTAAACATTTTTTTATAAAAAGTCAAATTGATCTGGGATTTATAACCAATAACTTTTAATTACCTTTATTAGATAATGACATTGTTTTGTCAACTAATTCATAAATTTCTTTCATATTCAAGCATTTAAAACTATCCTCCAGTTGACGATGCACCTTTAGTTCGTCCTCTATGAACGGCGCCAGGCTTTTGTATTGACCATTTTCAATTTTTAGTGACGCCAACATCATGGAATTCTGCCAAAAATATATATTTTATGAAAAAAAAACACGCAATCATGCTAAATTATAAGAACATACCTCAAGAAATTTCTTCCTGTGACTCTCAATTTGATCATCGATTTCCTTTTCATCCTTGTCCTCATACTGCTTGGCATGATCAAAATATGGTGGCAACAACACATGATCCGGAACTGCAAAGTATTTCTTGTCCATCTTTTCGGCAGTTGCTATGGCACGACTTATAGACTTATCCTCCATTATGTTTCGTACAATGTCATCCTTCTGCTGTGCCAAAATTGCAGAAGTCTCTGGTGAGCAAACAATTTTACTGCAAACATGATCGAGGGCGAGATTTAGTATTTTCTTTATGAAGTATTTTCTCTCGATTGATATATGTTCGGCCGAAAATCCAAAGTGTTCAATTTCGCGCTCGTTTTCCATGATAGTGTAATTTATTTAAATGATATTTAAATTATATAAATTAGGATAAGACAACCTTTAAAATTAAGTTTGGCGGAATATAGTCCATGGCGCAATAACAAGGTGTTCCTGTAAATTTTAAAAACCAGATGTAATGTCAAAATTTTGTTTACACTTGTGATTTCAATCACAATAATGCATTTTGACATTTCGTTTGGTAGTCAGCTGGCTTGGGGGACCGTATACTTAGGCCATGCTCCAGTAAAATTAAAAGCGTTCCAAACGACACTAATAATAACAAAGGGAATGTTTGATAAATAAAAAGGTTGCATACAATAGTAGTTCGTAGATGGGTCATATTTACCTCTCAAATTTTTCTATTTCTTTCAAAGATCCCGTTATGGAACTTTTTCGATTGCATCCTATAAATATATATTATTTTATAATTTTTAGTAATCAAATTAAAAAAAATAGCATTCTTTTGTCCGCTGGAAATTCTAATAAGAATAAATTTGCATCTGTGGAATTGTGATGTAGGATTTGAAGATAGCCGGTTACCCCTTTTTGAAATAATCGAATACACTATGGAACTGTGTGGCAACATTGTTCTTGTGCCTAGAACAAATTAATTCAATTACCTTCCCCGTAGAGATAGGACGACTGTGGACTGTGACTAACTAATTTGGATAAACAAGGCTTGTGTGAATATTTCGAATAACTTCGATTATTCGCCAATATGGATCAGGAACAACTGAAAACTTTGCTCGACAAAAACACTGAGCACTTCCCAAGAGTTTTGAGGAAATTTAATGAAGAGGTGAGTAGTGGGTGGGCGGTTTTGTTTGTTCTGTTCCATACATACGATACATACATACATATGCATGGAAGAAGATTGTGTCAGATGAAAATACACAACAATCATACCATTTATATTTCCAGAATGCAGATCTATTTCAATTTGAGAAATTCCACAAGAATGACTTGTGGTTTAGTTTGTGGAAGGCTGTTTTTGGAATATTAAACGATGATGGTCTGGAGAAGTACCACACCGTGTGTTTGAACACTATCAGAATATTGTCTCGCGACGAAAGTAGTCTGTTGAAAAATAACATAGTTCCTGATATAAGCTGTCTCCTAAAATTGGCCCATTTGGTGGCTTCTGGTGGCGCAAATATGGCAGCCACCACACCGGACGCCATTGATCAAAGCTACAATACAGATGTAGTTGTGGAAGCACTGAAATGCCTTTGCAATTTGGTATTTCAAAATGTCGAAGTGCGAAGGGAGTGCATTCGTCAAAATGTGGCCGATGTTATTTTCCAGCGTTTGTCATCATCAACGCAGACGGAATCATCGATAGAACTCTTTGACATGAAGTTGTTGTTTCTTGTAACAGCTTTAGATACAACGGTCCGTAGTCGAGTTTTGATAGAGCTAAACGGTCTCACTTATCTAACGGAACTGTTAGATGAGAAATTTCGGGTCACTTCGGAATTCAGTGCCCAGCAGTTCGACGTTGCCATTGAACTGCTCAAAGTTATGTTCAACATAACGTCGAGCAGCGACAAGAGTCCCAGTGAAAATGAGATTCAAAGTCTACACCTGACCAGTGTGATTCGTGAAATACTTATCCGCTTTAGCGATATGAAAACGGATCGTGAGCGTTCCGTAATTGCGCATTCCATAGATCTACTGACGAATATATCCAGCAGCTGCCTTAGTGAATTAATTGTGAAATGTGATAGCACAGCCAAGTCATCCGAAAAACGTCCCATATTCGAGTGCCGTAATGTAAGTGCCCTGAGTACTGTTCTGCGTTATTTGCACTACACCTTGGAAGAGAACGAGAAGAGTTCATCGACCAACAAAAACTTGGTTACGCCGGTATTGGCCATTTTGGTGAAATGTATTTCCAGTAATTCCATCATGAGGCGATATGTACGTAGTGTAATACTGCCACCTCTAAGGAATGTCTACAAACGACCCGAAGAGGGCAATGAGCTAAGAAATTATTTATGTCGACTCCAGGGAAGTCCTGACCTGGTAGTCCGAAATCTAACCTATGAGCTGCTACTAGTTTGTTGCAAAAAGAACCAAAGCCGGCTTATTAAATACTTTGGATACGGCAACATGGCCGGATTATTTGCGAATGCAGGCTTGATGGCGGGCCGTAAAGTGGAGACCAACGAATTCTCATCGGAAGGAGAGGACAGTGATACACCGGAGTATAATGACATGAGACATGCAATCAATCCAGTTGTTGGTTGCTATGTACCACCCACACCAAACCCTCTGGACAATATGACCGAGGAGCAAAAAGAATACGAAGCGGAAAAACTTGTGAATCTAGTGGACCAATTACATCGAGGTGGTATCATACAACCGTGTCGCATAAATGCCGAGGGCAAGCCCGAACCGGTCGATCATATCTTGGAGCTGCAGGAAGAATTGCCTAAACAGCACGACCTGCACAAAAACGCCAAAGAATAAATTCATGCGAGAGACGTGAACAAATCTGGAACTGTTTATCCAATACAGCAATAATCCTTATTCATATAACAGTCACACAACGTTGCATACATACAAGCATTTGTCCCTGCAACGAGAGAAACAAATAGGCCATTCATTCCAAACTCCAAAAAGTGACTAGAAAGTAGTTGGTCCAACGTAAATGAATGTGAATGAAAGGCGTAATGTAAATGTGAAATGCAAATAAAAAAGATGCTGCTTCTTGTATTTGCTGCTTATTTATTAATGTTTAATTATTTATTTGCAATTCAGTGTTGAGAACAAATAAACGAATAATGCCGATAGCGAATGAATAATATGTAAAAGAATTACATTAGTTTAAATCCATGTTAAGTGTATCGATTCTAGTGTATGTTCGTGTAACATTGACATTCCACAAGGAGTTATAATAGGTTTCTTTTTTTTTTGTTATGATTTAATTTGTCTGCTGTAGAGGATCTTACTCTTCTGCTTAAAGTTTAATTTTATAGACACTTAAACACAAAAAAGTTAACAGCAAATTGGAGTTAAACATTGAACAAAGAACTTATTTCGGAAAGTATGATTCAATCGTTGAACGGAGCAACAATATGGTTATTTTCAGGCAGATTACACATCGCTTAGAAAATATCTCAATACCAAATTAAACAAGTAAAATATATATATTATACCCATAGCCTTGAGTTATGATTATTCACACTGTTGATCCATTATGGGGGAGGTTCCGAAGCAGTTGGCCAATATTGACCGATTCCTATCTGACCCAAGACTGATAAAAATATTACAACGTGCCAGATTTGGACTATATCGCCTACTTCCTATACCTTTAATGATATATGTGCACATTTTTGGAAAATGTGAAAATATTCGTGAGGTACCAGATATAATCGACCGCAGTATTCCATTTTCATTCTTCATTTAATACAGATAAAAATATTGGTACGTGGAAAATTTGAAGGAAATCGAACATTTATATTCAGTTTTATGCGAAATCATAAAGTTCGATAAAATACATATTCATATCAGAGAAATATTTAGATGTAGCAAGTTGTAAAGAATCGCCGATTGGTTTCGCAAGTTATAACAGATACAAGTATTGGAAATTGTGACCCTTTGTTGGTGAGGTACCAGAAGGGGTTGGCAAATATATATCATCTTCACAACAGATCTGGCGTTAGGAAAAAAATTAGATGAGTGAAATTTGAAAAGAGTTGGAAGCATATTTGGCTTTCTTTGAGCGTTTTGGTTTTGAACATCTCGAACCCCCATGAAGGGGAGGTAGCAGAAGAAATGGTTCGATCTGTACCATCTTTATAAAAGATATTGTGTTGATGAAAATATTGAGATTTGCCAAGTCTGAATGGAATCGGATATTAATTTCGTGTTTTAGGGGCTTCATGAATATTCAAAATTGTGACCCTTCGTGAGGGAGGTATAACAAGGAGTGAACCGATATATTCCATCTTCACACCAGATGTATGTAACTTGATGCGAACCGGGTGCTTATTTCGGATTTTATGATCGCTTTGGTTATTCAAAACTTTGACTCTTTGTGGGGGAGGTTCCAGAAGGAATGGTCCGGTCTCTACTATATTTATAACATATCTTATGTTTATGGAAATATTGAGATGTGAAAGTCTGAATGGAATGGGTTGTTAATTTCGTGTTTTATGAGCTTCATAAATATTCGAAATTGTTGACCCTTTGTGAGGGAGGTACCACAAGGAGTGGACCGATATATTCCATCTTCACATCAGACATTGGAATAATAAAAATATTGTGATGTGTGTAATTTGAAGAGAACCTGATGCTTATTTCGCGTTTTTATGATCGTTTTTGTTATTCAAAACTTTGACTCTTTGTGGGGGAGGTACCAGAAGGAATGGTCCGGTCTCTACCAACTTTATAACAGGTCTTGTAAATGGAATCGGAGGTTAATTTCGTGTTTTACGAGCTTCATGATTATTCAAAATGTTGACTCTTTGTGGGGGAGGTACCAGAAGGAATGGTCTGGTTTCTACCATCTTATTTATAACAGACCTTGGGTTAATAAAAATATTGCGATGTCAGTAATTTGAAGACAATCGAACAGTTACATCACATTTTATAAGAGTTATAATTATTCACAATTTTGACCCTTTGTGGGGGAGGTACTTGATGGGGTGGACCGATTATTATATTAGCACTGACGCAAATATTAGGATTCGCAAAGTTGGAGCAAAATCGGATCATCCTTTCTCTGCGTGTGCAGTAAATTATTTTCTTTGAAAATGTTGACTTTTTGTGGGGGAGTGGACCGATATTGCCCATCTCCGAACTCGATCTAAGTTTGACTGAAATATTACGATGTACCAAGTTTGGATCAAACCTGATACTCCCTTCGATAGTTATTGTGTGAACTTTCCAGTCAGACAGACGGACGCATATGGCTACATCGACTTCAAATGTCCTGAAACGGATTTGATCCAAAGAGACCTAGGGTCTAAAACCGTTATTTCGTGAGGTATGTTTTGACTGAGGGTATAAACTTATGGTGGAAGGTATAAAAAAACTGACGATTTTTTAAGGCGTACCACTGTCCTAATATAAATATATACATGAAATAAAACCTCACTCGAACGAATTTCATGCCGTTTGTATTCGTCTCTATGACTTAAGAGTATCTAGATTTTAGAAAGAACTGAGGTATCTGAGAATGGTATCTTGTTATATCATCTTCTCTATTTTCGATTAGCTACCGCATGATGAAGATCTTCTGCAAAACCATATAGGTTTATTTAAAACTAGCTGGCCCGGTCCGCGTTGCCGGCCCGTAGTTTTTGTTTATTATGCATATTTTTCAAAGCATAATTATTCACAGATATGACTGATGTAAGGGGTTGCGTACTGGTCGATTAAAAGTGTTTTAAAATATCTGTACCCATTTATAAGCCGTGGACTTCAATATTTAAACCGTGTGCTTCAAATGTGTGGATGTGCTATACAAATCTATTAAAAAGTATATATGAATCTTATCCCCATGTAAGGGATCAAATTAATTTTTAGTATGGTAAAAATCGTAGCAAAATTTTACAGTCAAATGAGAAGAAATTTGGAATTTACTGTATTTTGTACACCTCATAATTGAGGGCTGAATGATTTAAGAATAGGCAAAGTTAATTACTTTTTTAAACCCATTAGCACCTTAGATTGTGCATTAGAGTCCTCATAAGTCCCCCTAACCATGTCGGTCTGTTTGTCCGCCAAAAGGTGGACTTGAGGGTATACTATTGCATGGAGAAAATTCTAAAATTTGTGAATATGTTGACATTTTTGTGTAAGATTTTCACCCCCCGAATACACATTTTTAGCCAAATCCTTTGAAATATGTTAAAATCAGGAGGTACCTTTATATGGGCACTACTCCGAAACATCGACCTACTTTGAAAACTTTCTTCTACCCCTTATAATCCAATATGGCAAATAGAGGCCAACTCAAAATTATAGGTATTTCACACCCATTACCGTAAGATGGGAATTTTTTGATTTTCCATTTAAATTGTAAATTGGAGACCCCATAAAGTCCATATTTTTCATCATAGTATAATTCAATGTCGATTCAACAAATATTCGGTCCCGTACTACTTTCTTATATTTGTAATTTGTTCATGTTCCCACAATTTATTTCATATAGATGTACATTCCAAATCTACGTTCCCAACCAATATTCTCTTGGGAGTTACAAATTCAATAGAATACAAAATTTTCCTTTCTGACCACACATTAGGTGTGAAAGTGGACTTGGGGATACTCCAATGTGGAGACTTTACTTAAATAATTCCTATGTGGCAATTATCTGTATGATGGTTCCCTTCCCCAGGGTAGCATAACAAAATTTTTTAGCCAAATCAATTGATGAATGTGTTCAAGACCAATATGGGCCCTACTCTGAAAATTTCAAATTTTATGCGAAGAGGTTCTGTACCCCTTTAGACACAAAGATGCCTAATAAGGGCCAAAAAATAAAAAGGGACTAAGACCCCAAAAATAGCTTGAATCATACGATGGTTATATAAATATAAAATCGGGTTGTACCCTTATCCGTGAGTTATGATCTATATCATGACCTGCAAAAGCGATTTAAGGTATCTTGAATGTTTGGGAAGAATTTCTGGGAGGATAGAAATCCTTTTCTTAATAAAAGTCCCATTCGCTCTACTATTTTGCACCTTTTATATTTGGTATTTTCCTGATTGTACTCCCAAAGAATTTTGCATTTTGAGCTCTCATTGGACGGATTATTGTCACATAAAAAAGGCATGTTCACGCTTTGAGATGAGGCCCATTAGGCTTTTTCGGTCATTTTTGATTATTTAAATGTGTTCGCATCTTCCAGCTGAACCACGATATAGGCCCTGGAGTTGAAAGGTAGATGTCAGTTTACATTCTATTTCGCACTTATTTTGGTGAAAAATTGTATAGTGAAAAATTATTCTTCATTTTGTTCACAAAAAATCAATTGAATTCAATATGATAATTGTTGTATACGTTACGTATTCAGTAACTACTAAACTACTATCGATGTAAGCATATGTAATAAACACCATCACTCAGTTGTTATGAGTTACCTGAAGGCAACAGTTGTTTTACTAGCAGACCGGGATATATAACAATTATGGCGACGAGTGAACCAAAACCGCGTGGCAATTTTCAAATGGAGCCATTTGATGAAAAGGCTACAACCTGGAATCGTTGGGTGAAAAGATTTGAGACGGCGTTGGCGATTTTTGGTACGAGCGAGGCGATAAAGGCTAAATATCTATTACATTTCATGGGTACAGAGGCTTATAATAAGCTATGTGACAAGGCTTTACCCTTGATACCAGAGGAATTGCAGTATGATAATATTTGTGAATTGCTGGAGAAGCATTATAACCCTAAACCCAATGAAATATTTTTGAACTTTAAATTCCACTCACGTAAGCAAGAACCTACAGAATCCGCCGCAGAATATTTAGTGGCTTTGAGACATCTAGCAACGGGCTGTGGATTTGGTGAATACCTGGACAAAGCACTGTGGAACCAGTTTGTGTACGGCATAGGGAACAGAAAGATTCAAGGCCGGTTATTGGAAAAGGACGATTTAACATTAGATGATGCAATACATTTGGCAAACATGTTTGAACAAGCTGAAAAGGGGTTCCAGGAAATGAATAAGCAGCAAGAAGCCGTTGACATGGTGAATATGAGAAAGACAAAA